ATTTTTCGTCGATCAAATTTTCGGATTATCAAAGCGAATCGACGCTATTTTAAAATTATAAAAATGAAAAGAGAATTAGGACGATTGTGTATGATGAAAGGGAATTTAATTATCTGAAAAAGACCTGTTAATCCATTTTATGCATATCTTGGAATTTTAATGTTTTAATTTTTAAAGTGTAGAAGAAAGTAAAATTTTCATTGCAATTAGCTTAGCGAGTGACGGCACCACTTACAAATATTAAATCTCATGCAAGATCGGAAATTTCAATGGCCAGATACAATTATTTACACGTCAATTATTTACAAAAAAATCAATTGAATTTTACAGCATTCATCGAAAATGATCGAGAAATTCTTTTTTGAAAGCATTGAGCTCGTGTAGAAAATATCTCGAAGGGTTTCCAGTATAAGGAGAAAGATTCTATTTAACCTATAATAAAGCTCATATCAGGAATGGTACAAAATGACTTAGAAAAAAAATCAAAAGGCATATTCGAACGTAAAATTTTTTAACTTAAAGAACGAGCTTTGCTCTTTAACGGACAGCTTAAAAATCTACAAAATCTCTATTGGGATCTGACATCATGACGTCAGGATGGCAAGATGGCCGCCGTAAAATGCCAAATTGCATTGACACTATTGGACTGCGGCGGGTTTTTTTGCATTGCATTTGATTTTGGGGTTGTGTTTTGTACCAATGGTTTAGAATTAAGCAATGCTGCTTTTGAAAGATGATATTTATAATTATGGGGGTGTTAATAAAATGCAGCGCAAATATATCGAGGAGGAGAAAGTTTTCAAGACAAGCCACATTATACAGTGTGGACGAACTCTTAAGGGCTCAAAGGGGGCTTAAATAATTATATATTTCTATTTATAGTATTAAGCTGAAAAAGTGAAAAAAAAATTTTTTCAGAAAACAGGCATAAGAGCCTTTTTCAATACCCCATTTGAAAGTACTTTGTCCAGTTAAATACTTACAAACACTTAAATTAACTTGTATCAGCCTATGACCTTTCAGCGATGAGCATTGAGGATATCTAAGCTGTTTGTCGTAAGATTTTAAGTGATGGCATGACATGACTAACAAGGAGACCACATGAGATGCGGGTCACCAAATATCCTGAAAATTTTTTTCTGGTCTCCTGGTACCTTATAATGAAGCCCACTATGCTTAGGTTGATCCAATGAGCCTTAGGGCCCACTATAAAAATTATTTTCTAATTTATTAAAAAATCTTTCTGATTTTCTAACCCGTAACAGGACATCTTAAACGAAAAATTGCAAAATGTACAAGTCTTAAAATAAGTCAAAGAATACATTTGAATTTTTTCAGAATTTTTGAAACCTACTATCACTTATTTTCAAAGGTCTCTGAAATTCTTAAGAAAAAAGTAAAAACGCGTTAAATTTGGGCCTTTGAAAATAGGTGATAGCAGGTTTCAAAAATTCTGAAAAAATTCAAATGTATTCTTTAACTAATTCTAAGACTTGTACGTTGTACAATTTTCCGTTTAATATGTCCTATTACGAGTTAGAAAATTACAAAGATTTTTCAATAAACTAGAAAATGATTTTTAAAATGGGCCCTAAGGCCCATTGGATCAAACTAAGCATAGGGGGCTTTATTATTAATTTTTCAGAACATTTGGTGACCCGCATCTCATGTGGTCTCCTTGTAAGTTCTATGTCATTTCATTTTCTTTGATGGATCATTATCCATCAACGCAACCTCAAGCTAAGCATAAGATCAACTTTGACTACTTCCACATACAATTTAAGGAGATCTGGACCCCATGTTTTTATCGACCGAGACATGTAAAGTTTCTTTTATTATTAACTTTTTCTGTAATTCGAATTTCGACAAATGGCTTAGATATCCTCGATGCTCATAGCTGAAGGGTCATAGGCTGATACAAGTTAATTTAAGTGTTTGTAAGTATTTAACTGGACAAAGTACTTTCAAATAGGGTATTGAAAAAGGCTCTTATGCCTGTTTTCTGAAAAAATTTTTTTTCACTTTTTCAGCTTAACCGATATCGTAACTATTGGACTTTTAAGTCTACACCCCATATGGACGCAAAAAAAACGTGTTAGACCTATAGAGCAAGTCTGTTTCGACTCGAAAATTCGGATCAAATCAAATTTTTTTTCAAAAAAATCGTGTTTTTTATTGTTTAATTGTTCATAACTTTTACACATCAACTTTTTTGACAATTCTGATACCGGATTCGAAAAGTTCATATAATTTTACGTCAGTTATGACTATTCTGACATTTCTCACATAATTTTTTCACAGAGTTTACAGCGAATGAAAAAATAACTAAAATTTCGTCCGTTTGGCCCGAAACGGGTTAATACTATAAATAGAAATGGGTCAAAATAATACTTTTTTACAAAACCGTGCGCACGTATGTCACCGATTTTGACGCGCTTTTGGTATGTTATAGTACATGGTATATAGGTCCCAAAAACAAAATTTTAGACCCCCTCCCCCCTCCTACCCCCCACTTCCGGTATAAATGTCCATTTTCGATCTATATTTTTTCTGAGGACATGAAGTAATTAAAAACCGCTGCTAATGTATTGGCAAGTAGCTTCCTCATATTTTTTTTTAACTTTGAAATAGTAGTATTGTCTTTTCACATTCTTTTTATAATTGTAATCTAATTTTTTTCCAATATTATTGAAGTTATATTTTTAACTAATATTATAACCGAAAAGTAAACGCAGGGAAAATTCGAAAGTAACGCATTTATGCAATTTTTCTACATATAGTTAATTTTGGCCTGTTAAGGGCTAATAGGGGGCTTAATTATTTATCATTTTTCAATTACAGTATTAGGCTGTAAAAGTAAAAAAAATGTTTTTTTTCAATAACACAAATGATAACCCTTTTCAATAGCCTATGGCCGAGGCGAAGCCGAGGCCGATAAACACGTGCTCTGGGGCTTTATTTTTTCGCGGCATAGGCCTGTATACTATTTTTCATACACAGTGGCCCGAAAATCGCTCTTCCCGCTTTGCGCAGCGGCAGGGAAGTAGTCACATTCGGGCCACTGGTATGAAAACAAAATTTTATGCAATAGTAAGCGAAAAATACTTTTTTCACGCGTAAAATCACTTTTTCCGAAATTCATCGATGTATAATATATTAATACTCGCAGCTCTCTCTCTCTCTCTCGCTCTCTCTCTCTCTTTCCCTTTCTGATTCTAGTCTTTCTCGCCGCACGGGGCGAATTTCGGTGAACTATGCAGAAACTATTAGGCCCTCGCGCTCGCGAGTTTGCATCCAATCTCTTGACTCTCGGCACGCAGTTGATGAAAGTTTCTCGCCGCACATGCAGCCGCCGAAAACTTTATACCGTCATGTTTTATTCAAGCGTCGTATATTATTAAATTTCACGCATCGACAGTACCCCCCCCCCCCCCCCCCCCCCNCCCCCCCCCCTCTTCTCCTCTTAAAACGATATTCTTGATATCGCGTGCCCACTGACACGAAAGGCAATGAGGAAACGTGCGTTACGTATACATATACGCTTTTTGTCCGATATCGATCGTTAAGAAACGAAGAAGAGCACCATTGACGAGTAAGGAGCTCGCGAGCCGTTTCTCAATGAAATTATGCAATCTCTTCATCCTGACACGGTTGAATCGACGGCAGTCCTCGTTCGTAACACAATTGGCGGATTATAATTTGCGTACTACGAAATTTAATTGTACGCGCGCCACCTGCAACAGCCCCCTCGATAATGCGTCCGAACGCGAGACTTTAATGTCCATAATTAATCATTAAATCGCTTCAGTATGCGCGATGAAAATCTTACAGCGAAAATAAAAAAACTTTTGCTGTAGCGAGCTATTAATTGTGCTTTTAAAACTTAGCTCCAATACATAAATTCCTCAAACTTCATGGTAAGAAACAATTTTGACGATTATTTGAAAGCTATATAGTCGAGTCGTTCGCGACTTGAATCGTTCGAAAATTGAATCCTATTTTATCGTTTTTATTACGGACGTTGTAAGACGAAGCTGAACTCAAATACATATACATTCCGTTAAAACACAAGAGCTTTGATAACACTCTTCGGTACAAAAAAAAAGAAACACGAGCTGTACAATAACTAATAATATCAAGGTTCACTCGAAAGATGAAGCGAAAAAAAGTTCCAGAAGAAGCGCAGAGTCGCTGCCGCTGCTGCTGTTGGCTTTTGATTGATTATACACGCACGCATACTGTCTCGGATGGCTCGTACCGATATATATCTCTCAATCTCTCGTCGACGTGTTCGCGCCGTCTGCGTGCATGAGCTTTCGTCGCAGTGCTGCTGCTGCACACGCATTGGATGCACATTCGGCTGCGTGCCGAGATCGGTGTCAGAGAGCAGAGCTCCATTCGTATCGATAACTGTCCGACTTTTTTCTTCCTCTACTACTTCGTCCCTTTATTTTATTTTCTTTTTACTTTTTTTTCCTTTTTTTTTCTTTCATCGATCCTAGATACGGACCAAAAGTAAAGTCCCCGAGTAAGAGCTGACCTAAATTCATCGCCGGTGTTTTATACAGTATCCCATCATTTCATCACTTTCATTCGCTTCGTCGTCGTCGTCGTCGTCGTCGTTGCGATTATAGATTACTCGACACTCGAGTGATACAAGTCGCGCGTACACATAACGAGTAACTCGAAACTGCATTCTTGCCAATGTTGAGACTCGTTTAATTCATTATCTGTATCAAAGAGCTGCTTATACGATGCTTTTGGCTTCTCACGTATGGCTTGTGTTGTACGCGGATCTCTGGATGTTTCTTGACGACGATATGATTGAAAAATCAAGAAACCAGAAACAAGCTACGTAAGAAATAAAAATTCATTTCGTCGAACAATTGGAAAAAAATAATTGATAAAACGTACACGTGATTATGATGCAATTAAAGTTGTTATTTGGATGAGGAAATTTAAGAGAAACATGATTTGTACATTTAATGGGTAACAAATAGTTATTTTTCTCCTTTTATTTCGTGTATATAATACAGTTATAATTTAATACATTGAGAATCTTTAAAATATTTAACAATAGTTATTGATAACTAATATTGTGCTAATCATATCTGTATATTATCTTCAAATGAACAATATAAAAATAATTTATTTTACATTTTATTCATTTCATTAAAGCATTTTCAAATATATCAGTAAATAAAAATACAACAATCATGTTTTTGTTTATACAATTATCATACAGATAGTGATCTATAAAAATTAATACTTTTTGTATTGTTTTTTTTATTTATAATTTATTTTTATCTATTTGCGGTAAACTTTTTTTTACAACTAGCTGAGAAAACCTTAATAATGACTCTTCGAGTCAATTACTTTGACACGAAGATCTTAATTTAATTTTATACATTTTTATACTTCAAATTCAGTTTGTAGCTGATGTCAATTTTAAAATTTTGATAAAAATAAAAGTTTCGATTTTGTAAAATCTAAACGCTTCCGAATCAGTCTTTAAAAATAAAATTTTTTTCAAAAAAATATATATTCAAAACCAAAAAAATAACAATTCTTTTCGACAGATAATAATTGTGCTTGAATGGCAACAACGAAACGCGATTTTTAAACCGTAGAATTTCTACGTGTTATAAGTTCGCGTAACGCCAGGACGCACCTGATTTGATTCGACGGTCTCATCGCTGCTTCTGGCGCTGGAGATCGAGCTGGGGATTAAAGGATTGAAGTTTCGCTCCTTTCTCTTGAAACAGCAACAGAGTTTGGCAAACAAGTCGCTGAAAAATTGATCCTCCTCGTCGTCGGCTCGGAAAACTCCGCTAGAAGCCGTGTCGGTGCAGACCGAAACGAAGCTCTGCAGATCATTTTTGGGAAAGCCGTCCCTGTAGTAGATCTTAATCGTATCGTAAGCGTCCATGATGATGGATATGAATAAACTGAGCACGACGTAGATGTAGAGGGATATGAAAGTGTACAAGTAAATTCGTGTGTACCACCAGAGGAGCGGCGACTTGAAGGAAGTAATGGTAAAAGTGGCGAACATGTCATCGCCGTTGATCAAAGCGAACAAGCACTCGGAAGTGGTAGCCAGGGAGCGGAATTTCATGTGATACGGGCCAAGAACTAGCCAGCCGCAAAACGTGAAGCCCGCATAAATGAGAATGGCACAAATGAGAAATCTTATGACTTTGGGCGCGGCTTTTTTCAATGTTAAAATCACCACGTTGTAGGTCTTGAAAAAGCCTAAGTAACGAAGTACTCCGAACCAAACGAGTAAATTTCCGGTGCCCAAGAAAATACTGCAAATGTTCCAGTGATCACCGCCGTATTGCTTCGTTTCGATCTGCTGCTTTATTGCAGATCCCATTATTATCAGCAAATCATTAACTATAATCATGACGTACCACATATTCAAAAATTCCAGTCTACCATCAAAGCTAAGAGGTTGGCCATACATTTTGTCAAAAAATGCCATAGTTTCAAACTTCAGTAATTGTGCACGATAAATAGCCCTTGAACACAATGCTAAAGAAATGGCACAGATAAATATCACCAACAGATTAAGCAAAGTTCGAACAAATGATTGTATTTGATCATCATCACTGTACAAGGTGTCACCATGACAATACAATCTTACGGGCTCTGAATCAAGTGAGAGTAACATTTGTCCATCCATGTCTTCGTTATTCATTATTATTTTAATTCTAAATTTGTAACAGTCTGGTGATGTTAAAGGTCCAGCTGCTCTGAAGTTAATTGTTTTTACAGTGAATTTTAGCTCAGCTTTCACTAGAGTATTGAAATTAACTTCAATTTTCTTTTCTTCTAGAAAACTTTTAGAAGTTAAAAGTCCTTTTTCTTCTTTTGTTATATTTTGACAAACTTGGTTTATATTACTGTTAAAAACAAAACTTTCATTATTCCAAAATATTTGTCCTTCTTCATAATTGTAAAGGCACAATTCAACTCTTCCTATTGAGTTGTTTTCAGTTGTATATGAGTATGAACCAATCGCATTATTTAAACTGTAGTATCCTTGCAGTGCATAGTCAATTGTTTCGTAAAATTCATCTTGTTTATAAAGAGCAAGAGGTCCAGTGGATGGTGGATATGCTGGAACCTAGAAAATTATTCATTTTTTTTGAAAATGACATAAATGGTTGCATTTTTTCATATAAATAAATAATCATACTTCTTGAGAAATGTCCCAGCCTCTGAGAAAAAGATGAGAAAAAGATATTCTATTATCCCATGCATAATTCACATGCATATAATTATTATGAGCAAATAAACATAGTTGAACAGTAACTAAAATAATTTTTATAACTTGAACTAAAAATTTATATGGAAATCTTCTTTTTGCCTGCCATTTTTCAATTGGATTCATAAAAAAAAATCTCAATCGCCTTCGCATTTTATCCTCTAAATATGAAGACGTGGAACAAGGACCTTGAAAAGGTCTATCTTGAGTTTCCCTGCATAACAGATATGAAAATTAGTTTTTATTTTTGTTGCATGCATTAAAACAATAATTAATATTGATACCTTGGCATTTCTTGTGAACGGTGATTCAATAAAGTACTCTCTTCCTCTGTCGCTTCTCCAGATCTGCTCCAAGAATCATTACTCAAAACATTTCCAATTCGACTTTGAGGTCTTGCTTCTGTGTGTGACATTTTGAACACTCTGCACAACACACCAAACTGCACTCAAAGCTATAATTGTTATTTGTAGTAAAACAAAAATTGGCTCGAACACATGAATAAAATCTAAGAAAACACTATTATCTGATCAATGTAAAACTACTTGGAAATCAAATCGATGATCAACTACTTGATTAAGCCATAAATGATAAACCACGGAAAATTTTGAACTTTGACTGAGAATAACAATATAAATGCATGGATATCCATTTATTTTTTTTTTCGCTGACAGCAGCACTGTATCGCTACACGGTCAGCTGTCCTGTCCAACGATTATTTTAAAATAAAAATTCATTAGAATCACGTGAATTGATAAAAAGTGAAAGAAATACTTCTGCAGTGTTACATTTGGAGATAATGACAGCAGTGCTGAGTGCACTGGAGAATGCCTCATAGTAGTGGAGGGGTAAACAAAGGCAGTTAGTTGTTTTCGTTAGAATGTGCCGTAGGGGTTTTCATTCCCAAGCCTAGGAATATTAGATTTTGTAATGTGTGTGCCTTGAGCGTATAGCTCAACGTTCATTTAAACTAAATGTTTAAAAAAATTTTATAATAAAGCAAGTAAATCTAAAGCATACCGCAATTGGACGCATGATTGGTGAGTTCAGTTCACCTTCGAATACCAAAATAAATATGTAAAATTGCTCATTTTTTACACGCATTCAAAAAAACCCGCATTATTTTTAAAACTATCGATGGAGGGAAAAAATACGCGGTTTATCCGTACAATTAGTGTTTACGACTTACTGTCACGTTGTGTGCCTTATGGCTGTTGGAAAAGCTTTCTGTAAATAAAAATAGGAATAAAAAATGGAAAACTATTTTGAAAAAACTCGAGCAATAGGTGCTAATTTGGATGAAGGTATTAGTAAACTTCAAGAAACATGGAAAATGCCTCACTTGTTGCTACACAAAAATAATGAAGAAGATAAAGTAGTCGCAAAAAAACTTGTGGAGACTTTAAAAAATGAATTAGCTACGTTAAGGGTAAACAAAATATTAATTTAATTGTTAAATTAAAATTCAAAAAAGTATTCAATTTTGTAATTTATTAACAGGCAAGTGTTGAACAAAGTGTAAAAGAGATTTCCTACATAAAGGAAAGTCACTCTGCATTTCTTGAAGAGACTAATAACGCTGTAATGACTTTACAAGAAGACGTAGACATAATAAAAACGTTATTCTGTGATAATGGATATGTTGAAGAATCAAAAGAGCCTGAAATTGCAGCGATCAATAAAAAATTGGAAATGATGTCTGTCAACAGTAATGTGCCTTCCACAACTGAATCTACTGATGAGAATATACAAATGTTTGATAATAGTTCCTATCCAATGATAGATTTAGAACAAGCAGGCTATTTGCCAATTAGTGATGAATTTGCATATGATAGTCCCACACATGATCATCATGAAAGAGCTACGACAAATAATCCACCAATAGAACCCTTGTATTCGCCTTATTATTATAAAATGATGAAGAAATAGTGTTTTAATTGAATGTTTAGTCAATAAGAATTTATTACCTAAACATGTGTAAAAAATATACAATGTTTTACATGTGACAATTATACTTTAAAAACTATAAAACAACTTGTAGTGTAAGTCACGATTCTTTGGGTCATTACTTGGTGCAGTCTAATAGTGAAAGTGAAGTATTTTCATGAAGAGCTAAGAACATTTTAGAGTATAGTCGCTTGTGTGTTTGTGTAATTTGTAATAAAATTATCACTGAATTTCTATTATTTATTGTTCAAATTTATTGAGACAATATGAAAATTAATAATACAACTCAAATTACTGGTTCTAAAGTTATTCTTGTACCATATAAAGAACATCACGTTTTGAGGTTAATAAAAATTTCATTCTTTTATGAGAAACAATATTAATAACATAGGAGTTTTTTAAATTAATTTATTCTAGATATCATGAATGGATGAAATGTGAAGAATTACAGCAGCTTACTGCATCAGAACCTTTATCTTTAGAAGATGAATATAAAATGCAGAAAAGCTGGTTTGAAGATGAAGATAGTATGTTTCATAAACAAACAAAACATTAAATTAAAAAAAAAAATTATTCATATGTAAACTGATAATGCTGATAATTCATTGTTATAGAGTGCACATTTATCATTTTAAATAGACTGAAATTTCAAGAAAAATCAAATGAAATTGGTGAATATTTTTTATTTGAATTAATTTAATAAATTTTTCAATTGATAAACTAAATTTAAAATAAATTTACAGACTCAATGATAGGAGACACAAATCTTTTCTTTGATAATAGTGAAAAAGAAAAAATTGCAGAAATAGAAATAATGATAGCAGAAAAAATTGATCGAGGCAAAGGTTGTGGTAGGGAAGCTACAATTCTGATGTTAATTTATGGTAAGATGAAAATCTCATGGAATATTAATATTTGTTCTTTTTATGGACAACTTTAAAATTAAATATTTTCAGGTATTGAAAAACTAGGAGTTCAAAAGTACTCTGCTAAAATTTCTATAGAAAATGTAAAAAGTTGCAATATGTTCCAAAAGTTAGACTTCATAGAGGTAACAATTTTATATACTATTTTCATAGACATTTTGAGTGTTATAATTGCTTTAAAAAATTTTTAGATTTCCAGAAGTAGTGTATTTAAAGAAGTAACATTAGAAAAAAATGTTGACTGTACATGGTTGAATTGGTTGAGGTCCAATGTAAAATTTGAAATGAATGAGAATTATGACTCAAGATTGAATTGTACATTAAATAAAACAAAGAATTTTGAATAATTAAAAACAATTTTATAACAAATTCATTACATGAATTGATTTAAACTGCTTATACCAATACAAAGCTAGAAAATCACAGAGCTTTGTTCATGAGACATTTTAAATATTTTAAGTTACATTGTTTTGACTTTGACTGATACCAAAACCAGAAAATACCCAACGTTTTTCACTTGTTACCCCAGTTCCATATACCTCTTGCTTGAAAGTTTGAGAAAATTGTTTCAATAATCTTTCCACTCTTTTTATTTTTACATTTGGTTCTAATTTTTGAAGATAATAATATATTTGTTCAAGACTAGCGCCAAAAGGATGGATGTGTAAAAATGTCGCAATTAAACCTAGATCCAAAATAAATTCCATTATTTAATTAATAATAAAAGATTCAACAAAATACCTAGTATCAAGTTCTTACCAATAAGTTTTGCATCATTTTGTGTCATCTGTACTATACATGGCATTTCTAAAGGTTTATATGATTGATCATTTATAACTTCATCATCATCCTTATCTAACATAATAACTTCGTTATCATCTGACTCTTCTTTATTGGTATTACTTAATTTAACAGTCAAATCTTTGATTATCAGATCATCTTGAACCTGTTGTTTTTTGGACTGCATTAATTGTTCTTGCATACCTTTTAGTGTTTGTTGAAGCATTTTTATTTGTTTTTCTTTAACTTCAATGTCTGTTTTTGTTTCTGATTTCAATATGTCCACCTAATTAAATAGTGTTCAGTTAAAAATGAAATTTTAAGAGCATCTTACATATCACGATATTAAAAATTTTACCTCATTTTTGTAAGCTTCCAATTGACAACGTAAACTATCATTTTCCTCTTTGAGATTTTGAAATTTCTCTGTGTCTTCATGGAATGCTAAATTGATTCGTGCCCTTTTACGCTGAGGTTCATCTTCTGTATCAGATACTTCCATTTCATCTTCTCCTTCTACAGCAGTTTCTTCAAGTTGAATGGTTTTGATTTCCTAAAGAGCAAAGTAGAAAAAAGGTAGAAAATTAATCGTCAATTCTTGATTTGTCTATTTTAATACATGGAATTTGTAATAATTTCAAATTGAACTTTCAAGTTTTAAATCAAATTTTTATTTTTGAAATTAAATTTATCAAATTTTTTATCTATGATGATTTTTGGTGAGATACCAAATCAAATAGAAATTAATAGAGCAAATAAAATATCCCTTTTTTTGAAAAATTCTTTCAATCCAGATACTTCTTACCTCACTGTCCAAAGAATCATGAGCTCAAAAGCATTAGCGGCTATACAAAAAGCAAAAAAGCAGGAGACAATAGAAAATAACTTGCATGCAGAAATGATAGTAAAATTTATTTTTATGAAACTTATACCGTAATGCCTACTTGACATGAATCCCTAAGAAAATTCCCTCAACCGACGTTACCTTTGATACATTTAATAAGTGATTTTTTTACAATGTTTGACATATTAGTATGTGTCTGGCTCTTAATTTTTACAATTTTACCATCACTTACCTTGCATTACTGGCTATTTAGCAAAATCTTCAATTTTTTAAATTATATCAACGTGTGATTTTATATTTAAAATTTATAAAGATAAATTTGAATGTAGTAAGCATATAAATTCAAGAATAGATTTTGACTTTAGGCAAGTTAAAAAATTTAAAGTTTTTCAAAAAATATAAAGACAAACCTTCTATGAAATATTTCTTACAACACTTTCAAATAAAAAGTTATTAAACATTCTTTGGTGTTACGCACTTTAATATCAAAATGGAAGGAAAGGATTTCGCCATTGCCTACAACTGCAAATGATGATTCAATACATACCAATGATTGCTTTTTCCACATCTCAATATTCTTTCGCTGAGCCTTAGTGAAATGATCCCAAACCTTCTTGTGACTGGCTGCAGTAAACACTCGTTCAATTTGACTGACTGTTGATGGATACAGGTGTTGCATGTCGCATACAAAAACACAACAAATCCCTGTTGTTTACCCTAATTTCAATGTGTTTCTAGTAGATTTAAGCTCTCGAAACCATATTGATTTCATACACAAAGTTCCATTCATGTGAAATGCATAAAATGAACAATTTCATCATTTCATGGTACCTTGTTACTAACATCCCCATGGGTAGCAGACTTTTTGACATTTTATATCTGATTCAACATTTTTACAGACATACTCAACATTTGTTAATTAAATACATTCAATTTCCTTAATAAAACTTTACCGAATTTATTGTAAAGATTTAATAAAACTCATTGGAAATGCTTGAATGACGAATAGTACAATAAATAGCTTGAAAATATAATTAAAAATAATTACAGTAAAGTTTTAATAACAGTATCCCAGCACCATTTAAAATTATTTGTAGCATTAGAGGCATGCAATAGGCTATACTTTTTGATACTCTAATCTGATATAAATTCAGTAGTCGTGTATGCAAATAAATGCTTAGGACCTTGATTACTGAAATTATAAAGCTATTGGTAAATTCTACCCACCTTTTATCACCAAATCATCATGATCTATTTTTAATGAGTGTTTCAAGCTTTAGAATAGTAAATGCAGCAATATGATTTACAACAATATTTTGAAACCTTTTCTCATTCAAACAATTTGAAAAATTATTAGTTTTTTCAAATCATTTTTCAAAAACTTTGTTAACAATTGGGCTTCAAAAATGAAATTAATTTTACTATCTCAAATGACAATGTTATTTAAAAAATGAATATAAAAAACGCTGCTTCAATACAGTTGGTAAAAATATAACTTATTTCAAATAATGAGGAAGGAGATAAAATTGAATTGCTCAGCTTCAACATTTTTTAGAAACTTTTGCAAAAAGTTCCACTTACCAAAAGAAGCAATAGAAATGCTATTATGCTTATGAACACCATGAATGATTCAAAATTACAAATAATATACAAATAAGTTTTAAAAATATCAACTTACATTGAATAAGTAATCCCTGCATTCTGCTTTTTAAAAGTTCTTTGGCTTTTTGAAGTTCATCTTCATAAGTTGACTTTTCAGTCAATAATCTTCTTACGTGAGAATTTGTTGACTGAATCATTGAATAGAAAGTATTGGCATTTCTTTTTGTACAATCTCCTCGCTCTAGCCATGTAATGACCACCTAGTTAGATTGAATAGTTATTTTGAATTAAAAAATTGATAATGAGTCAGATTTCAGTGAAATGAAAAAACCACATACTTGTACAGCTTTCATAAATGAATCATCTTGCTTGATTTTTTCACATACATTTGAAGCTTCATGATCAGTATAGTGAATGACAGGGGGAGGACTAGATGGTTGCCTTTGTCTTTCTTTCTCAACTCTTTCTCTATGTCTTTGTTCTCTTTGAAGTTGTCTTTGTCTACACTCCCATTCATATTGATCATCTCGTGCCTATAAGAAAACAAAGATTTCAAAACATTAAGTTTTATAAATATAAATTTATTTATTCATACAAATTATATAAATAAAAGACAACGTTTTTCTGTTAACCAACCTGAGCAAAATCAACATGTAATCTACCAGTATTTGAAGAATCTCCATTAGATCCAATCCTTACTCTATAACTAGATAAATATATGGCTGCATCTACACTACTTTCTGATGCAAAGCGAATGTGACAAAAATTTTTTTTAGAGAGTCTCAAAGTTGTAATTTCACCACAGCGTTCAAATATTTCTTGAATAATATTTTCTGTGATGTTCTCTGGTAAACCTAAAAATAAATTTAGTCTTTTCTATAAACAAGATAAATCAAAAATATTAAATTTTATATAAATTTCTTTACCTCCAACAAAAACTGTCCTACAACCTGGGGGTCTTTCTCTCGTTGTGGGGGGTGGAGCGTTAGGATTAGGAGGAAATAAAGTACAACTTTTACATTGGATTATTTCTTTGGTACCCTGTGATACTGTAGATGAAGACATTGGACCAGTATTCATTTGACTAGATATTTCATTCATAATTTGTTCGGAACCTAAAATTGATGAATTCATCATATTGCCTTCATGAGGAATTAAACTCATTCCAATGGTTCCATAAGGATGAGGATGACTAATATGGGGTCTAAGAGACATATCTCCTATTATTGATCCAACGGATCCCATTGAACCCATTCCAATCACTGGATATCCTTGATAAAACAATTTTATTTAAAATTAATAATGAAATGTAGATAACTATTTTTTAATATTTAATAACAATACCAACCAATACCCATTCCCCAAACTCCTTGTGTTGAAGGATTTATAGATGGATTCATTCCAGAGGAATTACTAACAGGAGTATTTGATGTAACGCTCATTTGATTATTATGTCCATTATGAATACTGTTTGATGAAAGCTCTCGATCATCAGACTTTTTATCATCTCTATGTTCCCTATCCACTCTTTCTTCCCTCCAATCTCTGTCTCGTTCTCGTCTATCACGATCGTTTTTAGATCTATAAATGCAACATGACTATGAACATGTCATCAATGACAAAAAAAAATTAAGTAAAGAAGTCATCATTTTTTGTACCTTCTTCCAATATCACGATTGTCTTTTTCTCTATCTCTTCTAGCATCATTTTTGTCATTTCTCCTCTCAATGCCATCAGAATTCTCTCTGATGATTTGAGATTGATGTTTATTTGCAATGAATTCTATTGAAGCATCATTCATTCCTGGTAATGTGATTTGAGGTGGAAGCGTTGAAAAGCCTTGACTAGACAAATCTATGAAACTTTGAGTTCCAGGAATTGTTGTCAAATGACTTACTGGTCCTATGCCTTGAAGAAAATCAATTACTTAAATTATCAATAAAAACTCAACTATTTACTATAAGCTTTGAAGAGTTGAAGGAAAAAGATGAAACGAAGCAAGGAATTTCTGTTTTACCAAAAATGGCTAAGATTCAACGTTCTATTTATAAACACGAGTTTATTTAAGTTGAACAAACATACCCAGTGGTGGCATACCAGGAAAATTATAAGCCATCTTTGTACAATTGTTGCGCAGGCTTCTCAATATTTTTTATTACAAGCCACAGCCTCTGCTCAGAGATATTCGGTAATAACTGTCGTCGTAACGAGCGAATTCATTAAATCATTATTGTGCATAATTGCAAGTGACGCTCACGCGAGAGAGATGGTCTACGCGGTAATTATATACATGGGCTGTGCGTTGAGGGGTCTCGCGAGTCGACTGCGACTCGAACAACCCGAGGCAGAGCTCCGCCGCGCAGAGACTACTAGACACTAGACAGATCGACTCGAATGTTTGTATATATTCGTATATATATATATATGCACAGAGCCATTCCCGACAGCACTCGGCAGTTGCGGACGGCAGTGCACGTTAGCACTATATATAATGTAAAGCACCCGACCTCTCTCTCTCTCTCTCTCTCTTTCTCTCTCTGTCTATAGCAGGCAGCGCTTTTGGAGCGCGCAAGCTGCTTTATATTAGCGCACCAGTCGTGTGCGTGCACCTACTTTTTCATCAAAAGCGAGCGTATATTTTATGCTACATTATATGTGCCTAGAAAAGCCGTATAATTACGCCGCACGGGAAGAGCTAATGGAATTGATTTTTCATGTACGAGAGTTAACAACCCTAATTAATCAATAAATATAGCAGCGCAATGTTCTTGCTATCAATCCGTCGAAAGATAAGATGTCGCGAAATCGGCCGATCAGTGAAAAATTGAATCTCGATTAACGATAATTGGACATATTTTTAAATAAGTTCGGATTACGTACGTGTAAAATAAAATGTTCGCCGTCGTCTCAAATGAACCATTGAAAAACGAATGTTATGAACGGATTATGCAACGATTAAAAATCGTAGAGCTTTTTCCTCATTAAAACGTGCGCATAAAGTAAATTTAAGCGTTTTTACGCGTATATGCATACAATCTATATTTGCGACTGGCGTGACAGGTAGTCGACTTTCATAACGAACCACCTTATGCAAAGTGTCGTCGACTTGTGCAACGATCCACTATTTACTACGTGTTTCGTAACCACATGCATACATTTCTCAATGAAAAATTATTTATATCTTTTGTATACTTTATTTATGTTATACTTTATTGCCTGATCCATTTAAAAAAAAATATATATATGTGCTTTTCAGATTTTCCTGAAACCTTTCTAAATAATATAAATTTAACATAAAAGTAATTATATAGGAGTGCTATAGTTAAACCCCAAATAGTTATACATTCAGTGGGAATAATATATAATTCATATACGTGATTTTTGTGATGTAATAACTTTACCAGTATCCATTTCATAACAAAAATAAACTCTCTAACTTTTTTATTTGACAACAAATACCAGTTAACGTCATTATAAATATCAATTTGCTCTTATAGCCCTTGCAGCCATAGTTGATGATTCCATCAATTCCATTTTAGGTATATTCAAAGTTTCAAAAATATTTAGAGTATCTGAAACAAATCTATCCATCATTTCTGTAGTGTGTTCGGGTGTTGGAGCCAATCGCAATCTCTCTTCTCCCTTTGGAACAGTAGGATAATTAATTGCTTGTACATAGTGTCCTTTATCTCTCAATAGACCATCAGCAATTTTCGTACATAATAGAGGATCTCCAATCTAAGAAAAAAAAGATTAACACCATATAATTATCATGAAAATTTTTCTAGATGCTAACTAAATGGTATAAGTACTTTTATAGGAATAATATGAGAATCTGAAGGTAAAGCTGGAATTCCAGCTGCTTTAAGGGATGATTTCATGTACGATACTGCATTTTGATGAGCAGCCCGCAAAGCTCGTCCTTCTTCAGATGCTAGTGTATTTATAGATGCTAAAGCTCCATATAAAATTGTAGGAGGAAGAGAAGTGGTAAAGATAAAACCAGCAGCATAACTTCTGATCATATCAATCAATTTTGCTGTTCCAACAATGTATCCGCCTACATTTCCAAAAGCTTTTCCCAAGGTACCCGAAATTATATCCATTTTATGAAGTGAGTAATCTCTTTCACCGATGCCAGCACCAGATAACCCATAAAGACCAACGGCATGGACTTCATCAACAAAAGTCAATGCACCATATTTATGAGCAACATCACATAATTTTTCATGTGGAGATATATCTCCAGTCATGGAATGCACTGTCTCAAAAGCTACAATTTTAGGTATACTTTTGTCAACCTTGGATAATAATTCTTCTAGATGTTCAACATCATTGTGTCTAAATATATGCTTTGGAACTTGACTATTCCTAATTCCTTGAATCATAGATGCATGATTTCCAGAGTCAGAAAAGATATGACAGCCCGGTAGAAGTTTCGCTAAAGTATACAGTGTAGAGTCATTAGCAACAAAACAAGAAGTAAAGAGAAGGCCAGATTCTTTTTGGTGAAGTTCCGCCAATCGATTTTCTAATTTTTCATGTCCCATTGAATTGCCAGATATGTTTCTAGTACCTCCTGCACCAGCACCAAACTTATGCAGTGCTTCTGTTGCAGCATTAATTACATTGGGGTGTCTAGACATTCCAAGATAGTCATTTGAACACCACACGGTTATGGGTATTTCTCCTTTACTATATTCAACAGCGGTTGGAAATTCTTGAGCTAACCGATTAACTTTTTTGAACACCCTAAAATTATATTTTTTAAAATATATATAAATCATAGTAAACACTCAAGTAAAGAAAATATTTAAACTTCAATGAAAAGGATAACTAACCTGTATGAGTGATCCTTCTTTTTTTGCATAATTTGCTCGTGGAAGAAGCTTTCATAGGGAAAAGTATTTTGACTTTTTGACTTCTGAGCAAGGTCAATAATATCATCCTGAACAGCGCTGCTTGCCTTCTTCACTGCATCGGGCTCCTTAGACAGAAATGGACACTTACTCTTGCTAAGTTCAGACGCGTGTTCATCAGGTACAGCTGGTGAAACCTCAGATGAGTAAGCCACATTATTTACTAATTTCGACATCACAGGGCAATGCTGTTTGTAGTTCATAATGAGCGAAGTTCCATGGTTGCGAACAAAGTTCGGAGAAATTCTGGCCAGAAAAGGGCACGGCATGTTTGCTGCGAGTAAAAAGAACCAACATTAATCACTTTCTCATACAAAACTTATAAAATCTCGGAGCAATGGTTGTCGAGTTTTACCTGATTCGTTCGGGACGATCGCGCTTGTCTGGAGAATGCAATGACAGGCGAGCTGCGAGTGACAGTGCACAAGCTATACGCTTCGTTCCAATAATGAATATGTAATAGAGAATGACATACGAGTTGCGCGTGAGTCGTGACAGTGCACAACCTATGAACTTGTTATATACATGTCAAGCGTTACTATTGTTATGATTGCATTTCCATATGGCTTGACGCGCGTCGTACGTAAATTATGATGAAACGCGTCGAGTTTTCAGATGGAAAATAATTGCGCGCGAATGATACGTGTGGAAATCTTTTTTCAATGTGAATGCTCGTCATTATTTGGTCGATTATAGATTGTAGAAAGTGCATAGGCGATCAGCGATACGAATTTTTCGTTTAATTTTTTTTCCTTCGCTTGACTTATTCTCAAGATAATATTATTATCAATCTGTGCTCCAGCGTGCATGATTGAAGGCAATGATACTCAAATGCTATTGCCGCAAAATCTATATGTAATCGTTGAATATCGTGGACAATTTGTTAATTGGAAGCACAAGGTTGCTTACGAATCGTTAAATGGCGCGATCAATTTGGAGGCAATGCGCAGAATGACATCAACTTGCAAACTGTTAAAATTCTTATGAATGGAAAAAAATATGATTATAGATTGACAAGTTTATGACAAAAAAATACTTTATTTTGTTTCATAAATATAGAAGTAGTTATAAAAAATTTCGTTGATACTAAAATGTATAAATAAGCTAAAAAACTGTACAAAATCCTTACTGTACTCAATCACTTTCAATATCCCCTCGAATACACCTTACCATATCGCTTTGACTTTGTACCTTGATTTGATTGAATATGCTCTTCAACTCCTTTACTTGGTTTGATGTATCCTTGACCTCATTTTTTATATTGGATTGAGAATTTTTATTATCTACACTTTGTTCAAATTGATTAAAAAGTTCTCGTTGTTCATTCGTGATGACTGGTACGGTGTACTTGGGTGCCATGGAATTTTGAACTTTGGTGGTCTGCAAAAAAACTTTTCTTTAGAAATTTTGATAGGAAAAATTAATATTATATAAACTTTAAAATAAATTCAAAATACAAATTGAAAATGTAAAATTTTATAACCTGCAGACTTTTAAGTTATTTGATATTTGTATGAAAGATTTTATTCATGTAAAAAATTTACCTGTCTTTTTGTTGTTAAGGTCAAGTATTTTCCATATTGATTTGCACATCCAATTGAGTAGCTTGTTCGAGTGCAAGCAATTTGGTACACAGCATCTTCACACTGTTGTTCAAGTTCCTGATCTTCTTCTTCTAATAATCAATCAAAACATTAGAAAAAGTTTAATTTACAACTTTTAAGTTCCAATATTCAAAACTTACTCATTTTTTTATTTTCTCATTAGTTCTTAAAATTAATTAGATATTTTCACACTTAAAACTAGACGCGTTGAAATATTGTAAACATTGAAGAATGATGCATAAACACTCCTCCAATAAAATTAAATTCTAGACTGTAACGCCATCTGTAGTATCTGGAGAGTTGAATTCTTGAATGCACTTATCATCCGAAAAAAGTTTGGGTTTGATTATTTTAAAAATGTCTTCCATCGTAGGACCTATTTGTAAATTTAAAGTAATTATGCAATATACTCACACATCAATAATACTTGAAATTTTTAAAAAAATGTTCATGGTGCTTTGAAGAGTGGTAAATAATTTGAAATTTTGTAGAATTTTAGAATTTTTATGTGAAAACTTGAAATTAGAATCTATACAAAAATAAAATCTGTACAAGGTTTTAAAAATCATCTAATAACTGAAACATTTTTTTTTAAACAAATAACGAGTACTAACTATCTGAATTATGAAGCTTTAACATTTCATCATACTGCTTTTTTTGTTCTTTTGTGAGCTTGAGAGTTTTTAATACTTTAGGTTTTTGATCTAACTTAAGTTCTAATTCCATGAATTCATCCATTAATCTTAATTTTTGTTGAGCTTTTTGTAAATCCTACAATAATTTTAGTTACATAAATAAATATTTCATAAAATATGAATATTGTACACAAAGTAACATTTACCTCTCTTAGTTGATCTTTTATACTGGGATTGGTTTTACCTTGTCGTCTTTTTTGTCTGAATTCCTGGGGATCATATCCAATTATTTCTTCTAATACCTGAAAATAAGTATCATTCAATAACATTTTGTTCAAAAATATCGGTTTTTACACATACTTTTGAAGAAAAAACAATATCCAAAGTTGATGTAGTATCACTGATAGTTGCATCCAAATGAAAGTAATATCCATTCTCATCATTATTCAAATTCAATTTCACAATATTAATAACTTTTCCTCGCACAACAGTACGACAAGGTTCTGATGTTAAAGGTTTTTTTAAAACTTCTTTTATATACTCAAATTGCTTAGGAAGTATTTCATCTAATACAGTTTTGTCATTGAAATACTCAGCAATATTCCTTGAAAAACTATTAGATTTAGGAGTACTTTGTAAACAGCGCATTTTCGAAGGTGCACCAATTGTTGAAGGAGATATTGTACTCTGTTGATTTAAAAAAAATTTTTTTTTTTCATTTCAAAATCAAATTAATTGAATAATCAATATGAACTTACAGCTAATCTCTTTATTCCAGTGACTTCATAGTTAGAACTTAAGTCAGTGAATTTAGATGACTTTGAACTTGTATTTGATGAAACTTTTCCTAAAAATGATGGATCACTTTTACTATGTTTAGTTTCTGGTTTAATTTCTAATTTTGATTCAAATTCTGTGTCAAATTCATTCTCAAAATCCATGGCAAGATTTTCCTCTATATGACTACTGTACTCATTTTTATATTTTGATTTAGCAGAAATTGGTTTTTTTCTGTTGGTTGATGCTTGGCAACTTTGGATATCATCTGGTGTTCGAAAATCATCAATTTTCATATCAAAATCAAAATCATCAGCTGAATACTCATCCACTATGTTCAAATTTTTTTTAACATTTGAAACTGATGGTAACGGAGATGGTAATTTCCAAGATGAACATTTCTCGTTTAATTTACCTAAATTTAGTTTGTTTTGGTTACTGGTTTGACGATGCGTGGTTTGAGTTGTGCTTGAATTCACTACTTTTGATGATAATTCAGTTGATTGTTTTGAATTATAAGAATGAGGAAATTTCATTTCAGATAGATCTTGCATTTCTTCTTCTGTAGGAAAATCGTCACATTGATTTTCAATTATATTTGATGAAGATTGTTTTTTCTTATCTACTTTATGAGAACTTATAGATGGAGTTTTAATGTTTGAAAAATCTTGAAATTGTTTTTCATCAACCATTTCTAATAGTTTATCATCAGAATCATCTATCTCAATTGGAACATTTGGATAACTATAACTGTAGCTCAATGAATCAGTTTTACTTTTTTTAGAACTAGTAGATGCTGTACTTGTAGTTTGTTTACTTTTGTTGACTGTGTTATTTGATTTTTTATCTTCAGAATACGTTTGTTGAATTTCTTTTTCAATTTGGTCTAATGCCTGAGTATCAATGTCAAAATCATCATCTAGTTGAATATTTTTTTGGGTACTTTGAGTAGATTGTGCATTATTATCATTGTAAGGATCTGGATTTTCCTCAAGATTCCTGCCAATCAAGTTGTAAAAATAGGAATATTTAAAAAAATTAAATGCAGATATATCATAGACGGAAAAAAATTTAAAAAAGCATAGTTCTTACAAGGCTCTGGCAAAAACATTTTCCACTGCATTAACGATTAATAAGCTTTCAACTTCTCCACCAATTTCTGTTATATTATTTTCTTCTAGCAATATAACTCCTTTCCGACAAATAACAGGCCCTTTGATAAGAACTTTATATCCAGGATATAAATTATCCTACACCAAAAATGAATTAGTCTAATTTGCAGTAAATTTAATTTAAATATTTTAACCAAAATATACTTTTAAAAATCGAATTGGCTTGTATTCTATAGCTAAAACATCTTGCAGTCCATCAGTTAGAAACAACTGAAGCATCCTTTTTGGTTTTGGCTCCCAAGCTGAAAATTTATCTTCTTGGATGGCATTTTCGTTCTCAGTTGCATCCACATTTTCCGTTGACACCTGTCTTATTTTTTCGAGCTGTTTGTACTTCGACTGCGATATGTCGTATACTTTATCCATCTGTAAATTTATCGTCGAGTCAGATAGTCAACTTCAATGCAAAGTGCAATAAAAAAAAAAACACTCGTTTACTTGTAAAATATATTTTGCGGGCAAAGTCGTGACTCGTTGATTCGCCAAGTTGCGCGGTAGGCAGCCATGGTCGTTGTTTATTTCTCGCAAATCGCTGAGTAACCATTGATTGATGACAAACGTGATTATTTCTTTCTGCGTCGCCTGCAATTCATTGTTTCAATCATTAATGTTGTTTCAATTGTACTCAGAAAAAACACTGATGCAATTAACGGCTATGTCAACAAATCGGTATATAACCTACATTCTCGTGATCATTAATGTAAAATTCCACGCACTCGGAGAGCCAGGAATCGTTCATGGAATAATGTTCATTTTGAAGCGAGTTTTTAACTCGTTGAAACAGTTGATTATTCATGTTTTTCTTTCTCGATCGTCTTTATTCAACCTTATTGCACTTATTCAAGCGCAGTAAACTCGTGGAAACGAAGCAGACGCATTGCACCACACATGTATACGCGCAAAATTCTAACAATGCACTATTCGCGCGCGCTTTTACTTCGACTCGAGCGATAATTGATCATATGAGCATGTTACCTAGGTGCAGTTTGCTGCATTATCGATAGGTGATAGCTGCTGTGTAGTGCTTTATCTCTAATGAAAATTTCCTATAGGATCCCGCGAAATTTCTACAGGAGTCCTATAAGATTCCAGCAGGAATTTCGCGGGATCCTGTAGGGAATTTTTATAAGGGCTCACATATGATTACAAATCATCATGGCTTTGTGGGAGAGAGAGACGAGATCCTGTCCGCATTCTCGTCACAATATATCCAATGCCGATCCGAATTCGGCCAATGCAGAGAGCCAAACGTTATTTGCAAGAGATCGGAAAAAGTAAACTTACCACGACGATTTGGATGGCTATGTCTTTTTAGATCAGCTGGCCGAATCATTCGAAATTGCCCTTATAAAAATTTCCTGTAGGATTTCGCGAAATTCCTACAGGAGTCCTATAGGATTCCAGTAGGAATTTCGCGGGATCCTATAGGAAATTTTTATAAGGGTGGACATACGAATATAGTGATTAATTCGAGTTTGTTAGGTCGAAAAAATTAGAGTTATTTGCCAGATGGTAGCTGATCACATTTTGAATTATGATTTTACCTACTGATGAATGGGGCCACGGTTTTTTTTTGACGAGATCCAATATGCGCATATTACATTTTTCTAAAAGTATATTATGCGCATTTACACTTTGGAGCGTCGAAATTTATACTTTAGGCTCTGCGTGTAGGATAATACTTGTCTTCGGATAGTCGTCTCGTTCATATCTCAGACTCTCAATTGATTTATCTTAAGGTGATGCCTTGGTCACAATTTTTATCGACCGAGCACAGAAAATGTATATTTTCGTAACTTTTTTTCCAGGCTGATTTTCGAAAAACGGCTTTGTGGAGCCCTCCGTATTGTTGCTGTAAACCACTGCGACAAATTTTAGCTAATTTCATCGGATAGTTTTCCCGGAAAACGGGATCAAAATTTTTTATTCTACAAACAGCAATCAAAAATTTCGATCCTGTTTTCCGGGAAAACTACCCGATAAAATTGTCTGAAATTCGTCGCAGTTGTTCGCAGCAACAATACGGAGGGCCCTACAGAGCCGTTTTTCGAAAATCAGCCTGGAAAACAAGTTACGAAAATATACATTTTCTGTGCTCGGTCGGTAAAAATTGTGGCCAAGGCATCACTTTAATTAAAAATTCATGTTCAATGATCGAGGGTACTACCATCTGATCTCTGAAGGACGTGGCGCGAAGTATAATCATACTTGAAAATGGCCACATAAATCGAAGTAGTAGAAAAATTTTTTTCTTGACAGTAAAATATATTCACTTTACACCTGATTGACCAAAACAAAACTCTTACCCACTGAGGAATCAAAAAAATCGTCCTTTTGGAAGATTTTGAGATCCTGTAGATCAAAATCGACGAAAATTGCTTGTAAAAAAGTAATGAAATAAGGATTTAAGAACTAATTGGTAGGTGTGACTTGAAATGATTTTGCAATCTTATAAAACGAATAATATTAGTCAATTTATATTGAAAACTAAAATAAATGTTTAAAAAAAAAGTAATTCATTATTTGATGATCGATAATATGCATTTTATTTATAAAATATCGATGGCTAATGAATTAATAAGCCTTGAAAATTAAAAACTAATAATGGTTTATGTGTTATAAATGTTACACATGCATAGGTGTCCCATAAGTATTGTTTTTTGAAGTCAGGTATGATAGATTGATCTATAAACGAATTTTATAGTTAAATTTTTTTATTTTTTATCATATAATTTATGTACAATAATGATTTCCGAAATTGGACGGTGTCACTGTACACTCATACACGTTCACTCGTGTATGTACGATCAAATTTACAAATTTGATTGCTTACATCTTGAAAATGGTACCACTGAAGATCTTCAAAATTTTCCCACTTAATAGAAGCATCTTCCATAATATGTGGTTAAAATTTCATTAAATTCTGTCCATAATCATTTTCTTAGAGCAACTTCCTTAAAGTGCTGAAATATAGATGTAACGATTTTATGACAATTGTTTATTCTCACAAAACTTAACCAGACACTTCTTCTATAAGCTTTGCGAGAAAAAATTTGACTAATATCTGCTGGAAAACTATAAAATTATACACTTTTATCTGTCACTTTACCACCACAGTTCACAACACAAAAATGAGAAAAAGGATACAAATGCTTCTGTACAGTTGAACCTATAAATGAACAGTAAACAATTCATGTAAAAGAAAAGTATTCCATTTCATTGAAGAATAATATTTTTTACATTGCTTTGGACTACCAAAGATTGTTGTTGTTAATTCAATATACATAATCTTTGACCAACAATATAAATGTATGCAACTAGCATGGCAATAAGCAGACGACATTTTCGAACTGACGTCTCATTTCACCACCTCTCATTGTGGCGCTACCATCGGCTCTAGGCGGTTTTCCAATTTCCAACTTATATGGATCCCCTCTAGTTTCGTTTTGACCACGATTCGACGGTCAGACTCTATGGCCAAAAAAGTTTATTGGTTGCGCCGCAGCGGCTTAGTCACAAAACCTTGAGTCGAACAAAATACACTTGGGTTAGGTTATGAGAATTAATTTTTTTTACGCGGGAAGGTTGCTGCCATTGAAGGAATACCGTTATATATAACAATTCCTCACACCGACTATTGGCTAAATACAAAAAAAAACATAAGAATCAGCAACAATGATAAACTAAAACGAAGGGTCGCACTTACTTCGAATTGTTTGTGGCGTCAAGGTAAGATCTTACTTTGTTGCATCGAATGCGCACGCGATCATCATTGTCGAAAGCGCCAAAAGCACTTGGACGGGGAGACGCGCATCATTCACTTTGAAAAGCAAAAGTGCGGATGCTTTTTTGCATCAACGCGGCCGATCTATTGGCTTCGCCCGAAAGCGACGAAAAAAATCGACGTCGCGCGCACCGAGAGAGCGCGCTCGACGTCTTCGAATAAAACTGGAATCGCAAGAAGAGAGGAGGAATCGTTTGACAACTGACAAGTCCCCGAGTCAGAGAAGAGGAAAGAACCAAAAAATAAATAAATAAATAACGAGAGGAGCAGTGTGCAGATAAGAATAAAAGTAATCGAATCCTTCTCGATCGGCAATTTATCCTCAAAGTTTGTAAAGAGATCGAGGGGGTAGTTGTTGTGTCTGCTCACGTGAGAAAGGGACTACATCGTCGCACGGGTATTGGGCAAAGACGCAAAGACGCTCCCTTCGCGCTGTTGCACTTCTATTCACGATATGACTGAGCTTCTTCTACTTATTTTTTTATAGTCAATCGTTCTCGCGTGTATAAGCGATACATATTACGTATATTGTCTTATAGATACTCATGCATAGTAGTAGTCAGCTCGATCGCGCGCGCGGCGAACCTTGCGAGCGTCGTTTCATTCTGTATTAACTACCGCCGCCGTATACACGCACATATGTATATTTACTCGCATAACACACATATAATGCGTATGGACAGGCTGCCGGCTTTGGGTTCCGTCAGTCCTCTTTCTCTCTCTCTCTCTCTTTCTCATATAGCTGCATGCGAGCATGTGCACCGAGACTATACACAACCTCGCGCGGATGAAAGCAAAAGAGATCCCACACCGCCGCAGCTCGTATATATACAGCAGTCGTTGCCGCCGCCGCCAATGCCAGCGGCCAGAGAGAAAGAAAGAGAGAGAGAAGAGAGCCGCTTCGGAGTCTCTCAGAGACCAGCCAGGCGGATACATTCTAGGCTCTTTGCCACCACTCGCGTATAATACGTACGAAATTTGCGATCGGCCGTCAGTCCGTTGGCGCGCTTCGCCTCGTAAGGATCTCGCGCACGAGTATATGCGCAGAGACTTTATACATAGCTTTTCCCGGCGATTTTTCCCTAAAAACGTCCGTCGCATCGGAAAACCCGTCTTTGCTCGACGCGTGTGTATGTGTGTGTGGGTGAAAAAAGGTTGGAGTAGAATTTTCGATTATGCGGTGCTGCAGCATGCAACGACTCGTTGGAATTATCGCGACGCGCGAACCGATTTTCCGATGTTCGATCTCGACTGCGATATAACGCGTATAGTGCTGTGTGCCGTGTCGATTGCACGAAAACAAAAAAAAAGAAAAGTTTCAAGCCTCGTTGATCGTAACTGCATGCACACGTAAGTGAGATATGCGTGATACGGAATACGATGCGATAATGCAATTTTAAAGCTTGTGTCAATCGATTCGATTGTTTTGTGCACCTACCAAAAAGAAAGAGAAATAGAGAGAAAGGTAACTATTTTAAGTCACCGCACAGAAATCGTGTCACGCGAGGACGAGTTCAATAAGATGCGGAGACTAGTCTGTCTCGGGCTGCTGCTGCACTTGATCGGACCCAATCCGACAGCGGCTGCGGCTCCACATCGTTTGCATCGCAGCGGTACCGGCGTCGTTGGCTCGTCGTCGTCCACGAGTCACCATCATCATCATCATCATCATCATAATAATCACAATCATCATCAAAATAACGATAACAACAACAAAGCAGACGGCGATCGCGCCAAGTGCGAGCCGCTACTCGTGCCCGCCTGCCGGGGTCTGCGTTACAACCTCACGGCCATGCCCAACTTCATGGGCCACGAGGATCAGCTGCAGGCCGAGCGAGCGGTAAGGATATTATAATATACCATACATTTCTCTCGGTTATTTTCGAGGCCCAGCCGATCGTCGTCGCGAACACAGCGCATTCCTATTATTATTGCTCTAGGAGAGACTCTCGAACCTTTACGTACATTATGTTATACACATGTGCTAGCTGCTGCTGCTGCTATATGTGCGCCTTCTTTATGACTGGAGAGCATATATACGTATAGCTAGTGTATATAAGGCATGTACGCGAGATGCCTTGTGCGCGCGTGTGGAGAGCATGGAGCAGAGCAGAGCAGTTTCTCTGCCTGCCTTAGCAGTTCTCTTATTTAAAGCCATTAAGAAGCCGCAAAGGAGCCGCGCATCAGCGGCATGAGCGTATATAGCCGAGTACCGGCTTTTTCGCCGTAGGCCTCGATCATTGTTAGATCAGCTCTTTTTCTTGCTCTCTCTCTCTCTCGCTCTCTCTCTCTCTCTTTCTCGTTCTCAATGGCTATTATGCTCCTCTCTCTCTTCTTCTGTTCCAGCTCTAGTCTATATATTCGTTGAGAAAAAAATTTGACTATTCGCTCAGCGTATATTTATAACGTGTATATAATGGGCATCTGCTTTTGTTAAAAGTTAAAAACTTGATTGTTATTAATGCAAGTTCGTCGTAGCCAATATGCTCCGCACGCGCTGTACAATACTTTTGACACATGAGCACGAGACAGAGAGAGAAAAAAGCCTTTGAAGTATAAGTGAAAAAGAGAGGGAGAAAAAAAATACTCGCAACGATATGTCACTCGAGTGTGCTATGATGTTAACGCGATCTAGCCATGAAAGTCAGACAGAGCTAGTTATGTAGCGATTGGCGACGATCGGCAGGTATCATAATGCATTGAAAAGAGTTCAAGTCTGCGTGTATATTAATTCTTTATTTTATGCGCATAATATTGTCAATGCTTCGGAAAATTAGTATTCTGAGGTTTCTCGATGTCCTTTATAAGTAAGTAACTATTCACATATCTGTTGGTGTGAATGACGATTGACATTAGTCTGTCGTGTAGCGGACTCGATGTATACTACTTTCTATCATAACAACCGGCATCTCCGCGTACACAAACATCGCTGCTATTTTCATTTGACGAATCCAAATCAAATTTATAAAGGATTCTTGTGAAATTTGGAATCAAGCCAGCTAGTATAATCGTTAAGATTTGGATTTTGATCGACCAACGATTTCCACACGAAGCTATATAGATCGGCTGCAATTACTCAGCCGCGATGCATATTGTAATTATTCGATCGGGACGAATGCTTCGAAGTTATAAAACAGTTTGCGGCATTAACCCGAAAACCACGCTTAAATCTTTAATTTCTCGCTTGCAAAAAATGGCTTTATGACAAAATACATGATAAATAATTGCATCGAGGGTGTAAGTTTCGCGAGAGAAACCTCCGCGATGTACATATAATACACGCGCAGTATAAACCACGTGGTCGCAACAACCGCAACATAGCGTATAAATGTAAGAAAATAATAAAAAACATCGTGCACACATACACAGCGACTCCAGGGTAACACCGTGGTGCCCTGCATATTGCACGTAGAGACAATGCGAATACGAACGTACCGGTCCCGTGTGTGTGTACACATAAAAAGAGAGTGAGAGAGACAGGATTGATACGCGTGGGTAGGGTAGAAGAACAAAGGAAACCAAAAACGATTAATGCGAGATACGTAAACAAACGGGGGAAAAAAAAAAGAAAATGAAGTAACGTGTACATAGCCGAAAATTAGTCCTTATAATACGTATTCACGCACGCGTATGCGAGACCTTGTAATACCCTATATACAGCTCTACAGCGAAGGATAATACAGGAACTGCGAGAGCAAGCGCGAATTGCGTGTGCTCGCGTACACACATGCACACATGTGTACACATTTACGAGTTAATGCAGCAACTGCGTTAAAAGCCATTCAAATGTGGGTATTATTATGCGTACGCTCGTTCATTTGTGCGATCGGCGAGAGATCGCGATCGCTCGCTCGGCGCGGCGCCCCCGATAAAAATCAACCCACCACCTGGCGATGCAAATTTTACTACTCGTTTATGATATATATATATATCGTTAACGTACGTATACGTAATACGCTATCCGGAATAGAGGAAATTATTATTCCGACTCCTTTTCCTCGTTTTCTTTCTTCTTCTTTTATTACGTGACTTGCCGCCGTGTAATGCGTGCGTGCGTGTGGCATTACCCAGTGGGTATACATGTATATTATAATAAATCTTCGAGATTTCACCGGGGATAAAGAAATAATAAACGATGATTTTTTTTACTTTTATTTTTATATATTCATCGACGCGAGAGGAAATAACTTTTATTACCAATTTCGAGGCGCGACATTCCTATCGACGACGATATTGCACTCTCGCGCGAGAGTTCGCGTCTAATTGAGGAAATCGAATTTAACGTTATAATAAACATACGACAAATCGTCATCGAGTTGTAAATGCACATGTCATACAGCGTTGTAAAATACAACTGCGAAAATCCCTCTTACCTCGAAGCCGAATAGGATTTTTACCATTATACCCGCGCGTGAAAGAGCAAAGCGAAGCGACAGAAAAAAAGGATCGCCAAATAACTCGACTTTGCTCGGCCGTGAGCGATTCTCTATGGGTACAAAGACGACGCGCGCGACGCGGTCGGATCCTTTAAGTCAAAATATACATGTAAATATGTATAATATCGCGTCCAAGGATACACGCACGATGTAAATGAAGTTTGTTGGCGCGGAAACCGCGTGGTATTTCGCATGCGTACGATAATAACTCGTGCGCGCGCGATACAAGCCGGTATACATACGAAGAAAAAAAAGAAGAAAAAAGAATAATGTCGTTTTTTCCTTCTTCCTTCGGCAAATACAACAATCATTCATTGTATCATATATACGGGTCAAAATAATACTTTTTTACAAAACCGTGCGCACGTATGTCACCGATCTTGACGCGCTTTTGGTATGTTATAGTACATGGTAAAAAGGTCCCAAAAAAAAATTTTTAGACCCCCTCCCCCCTCCTACCCCCCACTTCCGGTATAAACGTCCATTTTCGATCTATATTTTTTCTGAGGACATGAAGCAAGTAAAAAATCTGAAAAAATTCATAAAAATACTTTTCCACAATCCAAACAACCTTGAATTTTTTCAGATTTTTTGAGTGCTTCAGGCCTTCAGAAAAAATTATTGAAAATTTCAAAAATCGAGATACGGCGGTATGAGCCGATGTAGTACTCGGAAATTTTTTCAGTTATTTTTCGCATTAAAAAACATAACCTCAATTTTTTTCAGATTTTTTCAGATTACCTAACGCACCTTTTGAAGCCAAAAACCGATTTTTTTGACGAAAATAATTTTTTTAGGACAGTACGGAGCCTCGAAAAATCTGAAAAAAATTTTTTCTTGTTTTTTTCATCAAAATACGTAATCTCAAATTTTTTCAGATTTTTTAATTGAAGGCGATAGCTTCTAGGGCCGAAAAATGCTATTTTTAACAAAAAATGGTTCCTAGAACCCGATGGTTCCGGTGAAAAAATTTGAAAATATTTTTTTTGAATTCCTTGTCAAATTTTAATAAATTTTGACCGTTTCAAAAGTTCGATTGAAGCTTCCTAGCTCATTTTAGAGCATCAAACGAGTTTTATCATTCCTTAATGTCTTCAGAAACGTCTTCAGATATTTTGCACTAATCTTTGTCCTGCTCTAAAATGAGCTAGGAAGCTTCAATCGAACTTTTGAAACGGTCAAAATTTATTAAAATTTGACAAGGAATTCAAAAAAAATATTTTCAAATTTTTTCACCGGAACCATCGGGTTCTAGGAACCATTTTTTGTTAAAAATAGCATTTTTCGGCCCTAGAAGCTATCGCCTTCAATTAAAAAATCTGAAAAAATTTGAGATTACGTATTTTGATGAAAAAAACAAGAAAAAATTTTTTTCAGATTTTTCGAGGCTCCGTACTGTCCTAAAAAAATTATTTTCGTCAAAAAAATCGGTTTTTGGCTTCAAAAGGTGCGTTAGGTAATCTGAAAAAATCTGAAAAAAATTGAGGTTATGTTTTTTAATGCGAAAAATAACTGAAAAAATTTCCGAGTACTACATCGGCTCATACCGCCGTATCTCGATTTTTGAAATTTTCAATGATTTTATCTGAAGGCCTGAAGCACTCAAAAAATCTGAAAAAATTCAAGGTTGTTTGGATTGTGGAAAAGTATTTTTATGAATTTTTTCAGATTTTTTACTTGCTTCATGTCCTCAGAAAAAATATAGATCGAAAATGGACGTTTATACCGGAAGTGGGGGGTAGGAGGGGGGAGGGGGTCTAAAAATTTTTTTTTGGGACCTTTTTACCATGTACTATAACATACCAAAAGCGCGTCAAGATCGGTGACATACGTGCGCACGGTTTTGTAAAAAAGTATTATTTTGACCCATACGTATACGCAGGAACTCGACTCTTGGCGCACGGCAGTCGTAAAACGCAAAGGCTTGCGAGAGAGAAAGAAGAGTCGAGTCAAACGCGACGAGTGTGTGTACACACCGTATGAGCTTCGATAAGCGCTCAAAAGTGCCGCCTTCAAAAAGTTCGCGTATACTTTACAAATGTTTCTCTCTCTTCGGTGCTTCGAGTTACGTATATCATGTGCATACATAAATACCCTTCGATTCTTTTGCTCTTTGAATTTTCTATAAAATCTATACAATGGTAGATAACGGTTAACAGCCCTCTAAACCCGTGCGCTTACACTTACATAGCGTAATTCTGATTTCGTGCTCGCGCGATATGATCGCGAATCGAGATCGGCCGCGTTTTCTGCTCGTAATATCGTGGCTACTCGCGGAGTTCAAAAGTTCCCTCTCAATATAAAAAGCGCGTGCAGCACGATGGATGGATGTGTGTGCATTTTTAAATTTAAAATTCAAACGCGTGTCGAGTGGATACACGCGCTCATTAATTTTTGCCTTTCG